CCATTTCAGGAAATGAAACCGAGGACGGGGAAACCACGGGAAGTGACGAGTTAGAAGGCTAGCCATATTGTAATTGGATATAAATTTTAGATATGAATCATGATCTTGTATTTTGAGATTTTATGATATCAGAGTGTATTTGGAGATTTTATTGGAGATTTATGATCGGAGAAATCTTATAATTTGATCTTCAGATTTTGGTGGTATCAGAGTGTGATATGATAAGTTCCAAGCCTTGTGCACTTGTGGGACCCGTCTCACGAGTGTACGGCGTCTGTCGCGTCTCGAAATCGGGTTTTGGGGCGTGACAACTAATATGAAAACTAAAATTGTATATTTGAAAATTTTTTTAATGAGATGACATTTCATTGAATATAATGGATCCACTTGCTTAATTAAATTTACTATTTCTTAATTCATGAATTAATTGATTCATTCTTCAATTAAATTACATATTTGACTATTATGACAAAATCTTTACCACAAATTATAATTTTAAATGATGTTATCATCAAACTCTCAGTCTATCAATGAATTAAAAAAAGAGTTTATGAACTCCAACAGTAAAAACAAAGTAATATACGCACACAAACAGATTTGTCTCTTTGTCGCAACTGCCCACAACCGAGACCCAACCTTCCCACGTTTGAGACGTGCATTTCAGGTCGTGTGTCCAATTGTAACTGGTGAATGGTAATTCATGGTTCTTCCTTTAATGGTACGGTCTTCCACTAAGACTCCTTTGTTATGTCCATCAAAAAATGACTTCTTTTGAATGTTATAATATGCAGCTGTGGTTCAATAATTGATCACTTTGTATAGTCATTTTGCACCCTTCTCTTTGTCCTGATACTAGCTAAGCATCTTAGAGAGAAAGACGCCCCCAACCTCCCTTTTAATTCGCATCAACTTGCAATATCACATCATTCTTCAAGAGAGTTTGAGCGGAATGAAGTGTCTTTTTCTTCCTAGCTGTCCCTGAATTAATTAGACAATATATCTAGTTCTTGTTCATCTACAATTTCGGTGATTTAGGTGAAATCTATGTTGGAGATTGGGGGTTAGAAAATAGATTATTGGCTTCAATTTTTTAGGCTAATTTCACTCTCACTAGATTTGGTATGCAAAAGAGGTAACCCAAAATGCTCATAGGATACAATGAAGCACCTTGTTAATCTTACCTTTGCACTAGCAAGATCAACCACTAAATTATCTTTTGGAAAGCGACAAAACAATAGTTTTTGTATAGGATTTCTGCAACAATCGTAGTACAAAAAGGGACTATTTTATTTAGATAATAATAGAGATTTGTTTTTGGGTTCAAGAGATTCAAAAGAAGAAGAGATAACTCCATATTTATAGATGCAAGATGTCTATTGGGAACAGACGCTTCTTTTTAATTTTATCTATTGGAAAATCTTTCAAAAGTCATTTGGTTTGATTTGAATTGAATTCCAACTCATGCATTTCCTTGCCTTCCAACATTATCCACTCATCTTTGAGAAATTTATCAGAATTCTATTTTTTATTTTTAACGTAAATGGTTCGAATTAAATAAATGTGGCTCGAATCAAAATCATACTTTTTGAATTCTGATTTTACCTAAATAGTTCAAATTGTAATTATATGATTCAAACCAAAGTTATACTTTCTCAATTACATTTTGTGCAATTGCTTTAAACAAACTTTTTGTGGTTCAAACGCAAATATTGAAACTATTTTGAAAATTCTTTAACAATCTAAAGCTATCATTGTTTGCATTTGGATTTGGCACAGATGCAATTTTAAATTGCCTTTTGTAAATTACTTTATTTATGCAATATGCACCCAAACATAATTTTTTTTATGAGAAATATAATTTTATTGATAGATGAAAATCATAAGGGTTACAAGACTAATCCAAATAAGATAATATGTTAGAGAATGGGATAATACGTCAGAGGTATTACACTCATAAAATGCACGCAAATGTAAAGTTAAATAATCCAATGCCTATATGAATATCACAGCCAGACCCAATCTTGAGATTTAACAATTAAACTACATTCTAGCTAGCATAATTCATCTAAACAAAAAATAAATTGGTTGGGGAAAAAAAAGTTAAGCTAGGGACCCTGTTCCCAACCATGGCTTCAACGGCTATAGCAAGCATGACAACTTATTTGAGTTCAACTTATATCACGTTTAAGTTGTCATCTTTCTTTGATAAGAGTAAATCTTAACAAAAAATATTGAAAAAGCCAAGATAGAAACCTTAATTCATTAAAAATACTCTAGTAATTTTATAATTCCACTGCAAGTTTTTATACCATCCAAACAAACACTTTTTGTTCTTACAAAATTTCAATGCAATTCATCAATGAATTTTTTATTTTATCTTAAGTTATATAATGAAAAGTAATTCTTTTTTATATATCCTTTAATTCATTTCACTCATATATCATATGACTCAAATTTTAAATTTCTTACTTTCATGAGAATGAAATTATTACTATGTTATTTAGATAGTTAACATTAATGAAATTTTTTGGGTGATATTGATACTAAGTAAAAGCTTCAATACAATGCTAGTAATCATAAAGGACAAAAGTTATAGATATAATTGTTGTTTGCGAGGCAATTTTAAGAACCTTTCTTACTTATTCATAAGAAATGTTATCTCTAAGATACAATGTGGACTTAAAAGAACTTTAATCACATAAACCAGTACACAAACTACTAAAAGTAGAGTCTAGAAATTTATTAAAAATAAGAGTCTAGAAATTAAAAGAAAGACAACAACGGAAACTAAAGTTCCAAGAAGAAGCAACCATTCGTGGGTTGTTTTATCTATGCATAAACTCCAATATAGTCTTTAATTCATTCTATTCACATGTCATATAATTTAAATTTTAAATTTCTTATTTTTATAAGAATTAGATTACAATTAAATTATTTAGATTATTGACATCAATAAATATTTTTGGGTGATACTGACACTAAGTTAAAGCTAAAAACGTTTATAGAACCAGAATCAATGAAAGTTTCTCTTGAGGTGAGGAGAGAGATATATTTCCACTATTTATAATATTTTGCAGCACCTTACATTGTGGTATGATTTTAGGAATCATTGCTATCAATACTAGATACCAGATACAAAGAATGCAGAATATATTTAGTGGCCAATGGTCATATTGGAATTATTATGGGATTCTTTCCTTTTGTTTCAGTTTGAATTCTCTCTGGAATTACTTTGTTAGTCTCCATATTAATTTCCCTCATTTTTAGGAGCTTGACTAACTTATTTACCGTTGCTGACTTGAATGATTTCTTCCCTGATATTGCTCTCCTTAATTTTCTCCTGATGCTTATGTCCTTGAATCTCTTCAATCTTCCAACCTGGATTTGCTTGATTGCTGCACTTGGTTTGTTCTCCAATACTCCCCCTCAAACTAGGCTGTGGCATAAAGCAGAGGCCAAGTTTGACACATAATTGTTTGAAGCAATTTCTTGGCAAAGGTTTAGTAAATAGATCTGCTAATTGTAATTCCAACTTAACAAAACGAGTGATTAGATTTCCTAAATCAACCTTTTCTCTAACAAAATGATAATCTATTTCAATATGTTTAGTTCTAGCATGGAAAACGAGATTAACAGTCATGTAAAGGGCACTTAAGTTATCACAATGAAGAATAGGAGGGTTAGAGAGTGGCAAACCAATATCAATAAAGAGCCTAGCAAGCCAAGTGAGTTTAGCTGCTGTAGATGCCACAAAACGGTATTCAGCTTCTGTGCTTGATCGTGCTATAGTAGGCTGCTTTTTGGCACACCAAGAAATGCAGTTACTTCCCAAAAAAGTGCAAAAGCCAGTGGTAGACCTTCTGGTTAGTGGACAACCAGCCCAATCTGCATCTGAGAAAGCATATAATTCTAGTGTGCTTTGATTAGAAATACGCATTCCATAATCAAGTGTGCCACCTAGATATTATAAAATACGTTTAACTAATTGAAAATGATCCAAAGTAAGGGCATGCATGAACTGTGAGACATGATTTCCAGCAAAGGAAAGATAAGGTTTAGTAAAGGTAAGATATTGTAAACCTCCAACGATGCTTCGATAAAAGGTGGGATTTTGGAAATCACCAACTTTTAAGGAAGAGGAACGAGTCTTTATGGCCACAGGTGTAGAGATGGGTTTACACCCTACCATTTGAGCCTTCTGAAGCAACTCACGGGCATATTTAGATTGACAAAGAAAAAGTCCTGACTTGTTAGCATGCACTTCAATTCCAAGAAAATAGTGTAAGTTCCCAAGGTCCTTGACAACAAGTTTTCTTGATAGTTCACTAATACACCATTCAACAAGGTTTAAATTGCTTCCAGTTAAGATCATATCATCAACGTAGATAAGTAGAAGAAGCGTACCTTGGTGTTTATGGTAGGTAAATAGTGATGGATTTGTAGTGCTACAAGAAAAGCCAAGTTCTAATAAAAATATACTCAAGCGGTCAAACCAAGCTCCAGGAGCTTGTTTTAAGCCATGAAGTGCTTTTCGAACGTGACAAACATGTGAGGGATATTGTTTGTCAATAAAGCCTGGAGGTTGTTCCATAAAAACCTGCTTTGAGAGGTTGCCATGCAGAAATGCATTTTTAACATCTAGTTGAAAAATATTCCAATTTTGTACTGTTGCAATAGTGAGTACTGTCCGGATGGTACTAGGCTTCACAACTAGAGAAAAGGTTTCAGAGAAGTCTATACCATCAACCTGGTGAAAACCTTTTGCGACCAAATGAGCTTTTAATCGGTTAAGATTCCCATCAGCCCGTAGCTTTGTCTTAAACACCCATTTACACCCTATAACATTCATATCTTTTGTGCGAGGTACTAGATCCCAAGTATGATTGTCTTTTAAGGCAGCTAACTCTTCATGCATAGCCTCTATCCAACCAGGATGCTTCAAGG